AAAAAAAAAAAAAAAAACTGTGTTCTAAACTATAAAATTTTGTTTTACAATAAGAGGCCGTTCATGCAAAGCGTAAGAACGTCAAAGTGATGACCTACACTTCCTAAAGAGAGGCAGCTGTGAGGGAGTCAATATAGGAGGACCACCTTAATGAAATGGTTGACAGGCTTTCCTTTGCAGCTAGTCTCCTAAAACATGTCTGCTGGTTCCAATAAGAGCATCTCTTTGACATGTCAAGTAAGCAGACAAAATGTCGTAGGTAATCTTGAACTTTTCAACCCCTAGTAAGTTTACATTGCCTATAAAGGATAAACTAACCATATGTACTATAGACCTTTTGCACTGCCGTGGTTACAAATTCCAGACTACTAAAAGGAACAAAGCGTCAGATTTGACAAACTTGGAAAAACTAATCTATTGAAACAACAGTTTCTAATTACTATAATTGGAACAAAATGATATTTATTCCATGATAAGTTGGGTTAAATGATACATGATACATCTGAGGAATTGCAGCATATGCGAACAAACTAAGGTGCTAGATGATGTTTTACTTCTCTTCAGGCTAATGCCTTACTACTTCAAGTTCCTAGTATAGGTAATTATGTCAGTGGTATACTCATATTGATGATGTACGATAAAGAAAAAGTTATTTACACGGTCATCTACAGTTAAATCGGATTAGCACATGCAATTCACCCAAGTGCTCCACTTGTTGGACATCATACTGAAAATAGAATTTATTGCATAATAAAGAATATACATAAATGATAGATCCTAATAAATTGACAAATTCGTCCTTTGATTACTCAACAACTAATTACATATTTAATAAAATGTGGACTCAATAAGGCAACACAGAAAACATAATAGACGAGAGAAAAGCCTGGTAATAATTTCACCTTCATTCTCTTCAAGCTCTCATTTGTGGCTCTCTGCTTTTCTAAAGTACTGCAAATGCATGCTAGTTCCTGCATGGAAATGAAGAATTTCAGTCATTTTGCATTACCAAAATTTAAATTTCTCAGTGAAGAAGCATCGATGAAAAATACCCTCGTCAAACGCCTTTTTTCCTTCAATTGCAAGACCTCCTCTTCTTTAAGTTCAGCTAAAGTCTGTCAGAGCAATATAATAAACTTAAATAAGAGGAATTACAACATCTAAAACAATATGAAGCAAACATTTCTAGTTTACCAAAAAAGTTTAAAAAAATAAAAGGCTAAGCCTAATCCATGATCTTGAAGTTTGTCTAAAACTTTGACATTTTTTAATTTCTAACCAGAATCGTGTACATAAGAAAGATAGTTTTTGTGTATAGATAGACAGTGGCATACGACAAGTGAAAGTTGCTAGCCAAAAGATTAGGCGGCAAGCTGAAAGCCACTAAGGATATTTTATGGCCTGCTTTAATAATGAAAGGCTGTTTGAGACTTTTCAGATCGATCTGATCAGGTACCAAAATTCAAGTGGATTGTCTCCTAAGAAGCAAAGCATTGTGTGCAAGTAACCGAGACACGCTCAACAAGATCATGAAACTAACAATCACCTTCTTCTTTCTTGACCTCTTGGATGTGGTTCTTTCACTTGTTCCCGTAATCTGCATATATGTTAAGACATTAGATATCATCAGTGAATCATTGCAATTTTATTAAGCAAATTCAGAGTGACAATAACTGAACAAGAAAGGCAAATCGCAGTATGACCCCCCGTCTCGCACACCTATCTGATTTTCCTTTTTAGTAATGAAATGATGTTCACGGCCAGGAGTCACAGTTGGGATGGAGCCAAAAGTACTATGAAAACTGCATATTTCAATAATTGAATATCTTGCTCCATGGCTTTGCTAATTGTCTCACACATTGGTCCTTTTAAAAATTGTAAAACATTAAACAATTCTTAGTTTCATTTATTCAGAATGGGGAAAGCCCATCTTACATAAGAATACCCAGAAAGCATGGAGAAGTATTCACAGAACCACAGACAAAAAAGAACTAGAAGCATACAAATGACCAAAACTATATTTTTTAACACTTCGTTTACTGTGTTGGTCGTATGCACATACATTCTATTTTTTAACAGTAAATCAAACTAGTCATATCCAGTGCATGGAGGTTCTATTTGTGTTAAATAACTTGAAACAGGATCAGCCCTCATCTGAGTGCTTTCAGACAACGAAAGGTCAACGAAATAAGATAATCATTAGTTTCCAATTGCACCCGGTAGTTCACTTTTAAATAAGGCAGAGTTTGAAATAGTGTGTGTGTGTGTGAATTGCATACAACTCATGCTCCCATTATAAAATATGAATTGAATGCTCAGGACCCCACCTTACCAAACAAGGGAAAAAAATTATAATTCTTCCACTTGAAATAAGTGTAATCAAAGCATTAGTTAAGAACGTTTTTGGTAAACATGTCAGCTACAATATGATAGTTTGGTGACAAAAAGGGTCCCCCACCCAAACTTCTCATCACGGGTTAATCCGGATCGCTTCGACCAGTGTATGTATATTGTGAGAGAAAGTTTGATCTTTCTTAAAATACAAAACCCGAAACCAATCCTCGATCGGTGATTCTCATCTCCTCAATTGTATCAGAAAAAAAAAAGCATATATTTCTACAGTTCGCACCATTTTGCAGCTAAAATGTTTGCCAAAATTCTACATTTGTGGTGCCACCAGATGAAAGAACGAGCACAACAACTTGTCAGGCATAAGAATAACAAACCCTAATCTAGCCCTTTAAACCTCCACAGAACTACAACAACGTAATTCTTCTCCCCCACTTTTGACTAAAATATACAAAAAATGGTTCAGAACAAGCTGTCACCATAATTCCACTATATATATGTTTGTGTTGAGCAGTTTAGTTTTAGTATCCTACGTCATCTTATCCAAACGGACAATTAGCTATTCACAGTTGTGCGGTGCCTCGGAAAGTTCGCTCATCTTTGTGCCTGAATGGCATAGCTGGTGAAGGTATAACGACAAGTAGTAGATAACGAAGCCGTTGGAAAATACCAAAATATGACGACCACATCAGAACATTTCCCATTCATTCCTAAACCACAAACAATGCTCCACCCAACTAATCGCGGACCTATTTGCCACTAACACAAGCCACCGATTAAGCTGGTACCCAGAAAACAGATAAGTCATTTGCTCAAAATGCCCCTATAAGGACTCATTTGACTTTGAAGACGGAGAAAATATTCAACCGAACATTAATTAATGCTACCAATTTAAGAATTGGTATGAATTAAATTAACAAATTTAGTAACAATAACATAAGATGATCTGAAATTCAACAAAAAAATACAATTAATTAATTCCACAATTAAGGGTATAATAGTAATTTCACAATTTATAATCAATTTAGTCCACGGAAAATTTAAAGGGAGTAAATTGTTAAAATTCAATTGAAAATTGATTGAAACAAGATCTACGGTTCAAATGGCATTTTATAATTAACCCACATACGTATTTTACCCGGTGGTGAGGACGACCACTTACCCATTTACCAAATCCAATGGCTAAAAGAAGTACCCACTCCGACAGAGACTTTGATAGTTTTTCCGTGTCACTTCAATATTTTATTGACAAAATTGATACATGGGTGAAGGGTGTTTTGGTCTTTTCATACTAAAAGTCATGACACGGGAGACGCTGGAGTGGAGGGGCGGAAAACTGGTGAGAAAAAAAAGGTGATTAGAGTCGTTCAATCTTTCTTCTGACCAAAGGCGTTGAAGGAAGGTCACTAGTTTTCTCTTTAAAAATATTATTTAAGGGTAAATTACACTAATCTTTCCTGACCTATTACATTTTTTCACCTTGTCCCTTTAACTATCATATTTTTTATATTATACCATAAACTAACACTATTATTTCACATTATCGCAATCATAAATATTTGTTATTATTTTTTTTTTGTAGGAAAATTGCTGACATGTCAAAGTAAAATAAAATATATATATATATATATATATATAATTTGAGGGAATAAATCAAATAATTTTCTGTTAAATATGTAACGAACGTTAATAATTGAGATAATTTAAAATTAATCATATAATTGAGAGTGCAATTTGAAAATTTTAATAGTTAAAAGGGACAAAATTAAAAAGGTGATAGTTCGGGTGATGAGTGTAGCTTACCCTTTAAGTAAAGTAAATATAAATGGAAGGGCATTCTGGTCAAAAAATAAAAAAAGGAAATAACTAAGGCCGGTCGTGGACAATCAGAGATGAACTCCGACGGATCAGTGAAATGACAGAAATATGCTCGAAAAACTAGCAAGGACTATGCCATGCAAGGAAGGTATTTCTATCAATTTTGGAACTACCACAACGGATTCGTTTGGTTGTCGTATTAAAATTAGATGAATTAGATAAAATAATACAATACAGATGAATTATATATAATATTAAATATAATATTAAAATAATACGTAATTTTATCTAATGTTTGATAATACATAATATAAACGTTGGATAATAGTTATTTAATTCAATCAATTGTTTGATTAGAAAGAATTATTTCATCGTATTAATGTTAAATTAACAAAAATATCTTCAATCAATATTTGTTACATTCAGTATTTGTTACATTGATGACAACTTAAATTTATCAGTTGGAGAGTTATAATAGTAAATGTGTAAATTAATACGTTTGGAGTTGGATTATAATATCACATCTTTTGATTGGATTATAATACCACATTTTTCGGTGATATTAAAAAATCTTCATAATACATATCTATCGTATAAAAAACATACGATAAATATATATTCTTAAAATTAATACGATATTAAATATATTTACCAAATAAAATATTAAGTCTAATTAAATAAAAAATAATACAATCTAATATTAATCGCCTCATAATACGTATCTGAGTTCAACGGTGACAGGTGATGGAAGCATTTTTGCAAGTTTCATCTGACTCGCACTGAACGCGTCGCAGCAAATATCGTACTTTTCGAGGGGTATTTTGGTCAGAAGGAGAAAGGCATCGAATGACACGATACTTGGATGAATCTACCGTCGGCGAACAAGGAGACACACAACCACAACTACCAACAACCAGCTGAGTCATACATCGCCGGCCACCGGAGAAGTGATGACGATGTCAATAAAACTAACAATACCGCTAAAGAAGAACAGAAGAAAGAGGGCACAAACTCTGACCTTAGATCTTGTTGTGTCTGAGCCAACTGAGCGTTTGGGAAGTGGACGGCTGGACTCTTCCAAACCACCATCGATGGCGCCACCGCTTCCGCTTCCACTTCCACTACCAGCGCCGCCGCTAAAAGAGGTGGCGCCGCTCCAGGAAAGCGGAGTGGTGGGGCTGGCCCTCGTGGTAGACTTAACCGTCATCGTCTTGGACCGAGGCTGGCGTACTGTCCACTCGAGCGGCAAAGCCGTCTTAGGCGGTGGCGTAGCCTGGTTCAGCGTCACCAGCAGCTCCACCACCATGGAGTCGTCCGTCATCGCAGCTTTCACCCACTCTTGGTCACTCATCATAACCTCGCTTTCGCGTCAGTTTCGACTATGGATGGAGTGTGAGAGACAGAGAGAAAGTGAGTTAACAGAGATGTGGAAAGGGAAAAGTGAAGAGAAGGAGGAGAGAGAAGGGTTGTGGTTGCAAAGACAATCTGAGAAGACAGAAATAAATAATGAGGAAGGGGGGTGTTGGCAATGGCATGACTCGGGGTTATATATATGTGCGGTGAAGATGCCAATCGATTGACAATAGGGTGCTTTGTATGTGGATGGATGGGCCGATTCTCTCTCTCCCTGTGGAGACTGTGTGTGTGTGGACCCACCATTTGAGACGTGGTACTGACCGCCTGCTTCTATCTTTTATTTCTTATTTCTAGGGTTGGCTTGTAAGGAGGTGTGTGGCTTATACGCCCTCTTTAAATGCGAGTGGGTGAGAATTGTTGATGTTGTCTGTTTGAGTTTGCTTTTTTTTGCATAAATAAATGATAGCGCATATCACACTTTAACCGGTTTTTTATTTTATTTTTTATTTTTATTGTTAACTAAAATCTAAATATCATATTTACTGCTTGGCTATTCATATTGTTTCGGGGTTGAATTGAAGGAAACGGCCACGAAAATGGACCACCAAACATCTAAAACATTGATGGATTTAGGATGGTTTTTATCATTAACATTTGCCTACCTACCATTCAAAGAAAAATCATTTTTATTATGTTAATAACGTATTATTCAAGAGAATAACAAGAATTTCGAGTTATTGAACAAATTAATTTGTCAATAAATTTGGAAGAAAATTGAATGAATGCATGATGAAGCTCCCACCATTACTATCTCACATAAATATTGATCACATGCTTCAAAATTATCTTGATGATAAATTCAACAAGCCTTGGTGAGGTTAACGATCGCGTACAAATTTAAATAATTTTTTTTCATTTCATATTATATATTTTTTGATATTATGGTCATTAATTCGGGTTAATTTACACGTATTTTAATTTATTTTTTTATTTAATCAAAAACAAGTCATCCATATTAAATTAAAAAATTTCTAGAGCATAACTCAAGTTTTATTTAGGCATGCAATTTAATATGGTATAACTCTGGCTTTTTTTTTTAATAGTTATTTTCCCTTTTTTTTTGTTTTTTTTATTATCAGAAGTGGCTTAGATGGAACTTGCCCGGTTTACATGGGGACCACTGTCATCCTACAAGAAAGGGGCAAGTGTTGCCTTTTATGATTGGAGCGTGAAGTACACACTCTTGCACATGCACGTACGAATTGTACTTGAACCCACATTTAGTTGCTCTCCTATAAAAAGCGTGACTGGAGTGCCACCCTCCCCGCTCTCTTTGGGTCTTCTACTTGTCGCACGTGTGTAACAATATTTTCGGGCCACGCGCGAGAGAAACTGGACGTGGCTTAATCAAGAGCTTTGATTTGAAAAAATGATATAGTCTCAATTTATCCATCGTGACAAACACAATAGAAATTTGATATGACATAAAATTGAAAATACAATCGATCAAGATTAATACAAATTAATGATTAGAATTTTATTTTAAAACTGTTGAAAATGAACTAATCTTTTTTTTTTCAAGAGAAAATCAAAATATTTTAGAGCATTTACACAATTGTTTTAGAATATTTTAAAGTGTTTTTTAGATGGTTTGGTATATTTCGATAAATATTTTTTAAAAATAATTCTTAAATTTTTGGGTTAATCTCAAATTGTATCCCGAAAAATTATTCGAATCTCAATTTACACCCTCAAAGATCAAAAAATTTAATTTGTACATTCAAATATCAAAAATCTTAATTCAACCCTCAAATATATAAATTTGTATCAATGTGCACCTCAAACTAACGGTCATTAATTTGTCATCTAAAATTAAATGAATAAATTATACCTAGACCCCCTCATACTTATCACTTAATCACCTAGATCTTTTACATTTAAAATACTATACCTACATTCCTTGAGAATTCAAATATGACTAAAAATATTTTCCAAATTGGACATTTAAATAATTATGTTTAAGTGATATATTGTATTGGATATAAAGAACATTATATAAATACTTGTATTATATTGGACATTCAAATTGTAAACTTAATTTTAAACTTTAAAGTATAAAAAGCCCACAAAATAAATGGTAGTATGAAATTATAATTTTTTATTATAATGAAATTATATTTTTTTAATGATTATAGTAATAGATATCCAAGAAGTTATGTGTTTCACGTGTACAAACGTCAAGAAGTGTAAGAATAATATTCTAAATTTGTGGGAGTCTAAATGATTAAGTGATAAGCATGAGAAGATCTAGATGTAATTTATCCATTTAGTTTTAGAAGGTAAACTGACGACTGTTAATTTTAGTTACGCATTGATACAAATTTTTATCTTTAAGGGTGTGAATTAAATTTTTTTATCTTTGATGGTGTAAATTGAGATTTGAACGATCTTTCGGAGTGTAATTTATAATTAATCTTAAATTTTTTATTTTATTTTCGAAAACAGATCAAAACGTTTCTACTTTTTAAGTGGCTAAAATAATACATTACAATAAAATTTTGGTCATTGATATAAAAATGATACAAAAATAATAAAAAAACGAGAGGAATTGAAAAATGACTTTCGGTGGGGTGGCCACCGGCTTGTTACTGGCTTGGTGAGAGAGTAAGTTTCACTTCATCTATTCTGTTATTATGGAAATCGAAGAATCTGTGTGCTATGGCGCGCATGGTGGCAGTTAATAATTGGTTTTGAAGAAGACTGGATTGCCCATTTGTGGTGTGTTTTGACTTAGTTTGTTGCGAACAAATAAGTAAACTTGATGGTCATTTTCGAAATTTTAGGATATTTGGATGGTAAAGTTGAATTGAATTAGAGATTTTAAAAAATATCATTTTTTATCTAATCGGAACAAACCCATCCGTCAACCGGTTAAGATTTAAATGGTATATCCGGTCATTTCGCCTGTTGTGATAGCACATAACACTTATGTGGGTATCATGAACGCGTCATGACTAAATCTCTATCGAAGTTGTTCAAGTTTAAGTCGTATGTAGATTTTTCATCAACTTCATGGCAAGTTTAATAAAGAAAAGAGTTAAAAAACAAAAAAACAAAACATAAAAATCAAATTTTATACCCGAAGGTGTGGTCCACAAAACCCTTCTCTTACCAAGCCATGAATACCAGCAGACTTCAAAAGGATTTTGAGAACATGGGTTTTTGATTTCACCTTCCATTTGATTCATTCTGGTAAGTTGCACTTGCCCAATTCTATTTTCTGTTCTTTCTTAACTTATTTCTTTTTCATGCGATTATTGTAATAAACAGAGACCGAAAGGCAAATTTGCAATTGATATAACCCAATAAAAATTTTTCTATTGTTCCGAGAAATGAGGGATTTTCCATCTTGTTTTGATGAAAATGGAGTTCAAGTTGCTGATGGTTCGTGTTCAGGAGAAATGGAAGAAGAAAGAATTGGGTAGGGTAATCCTTTGATAAAAGGGCAAATGAGTAATTGTAATTCTATATCCAGTTGACAAAGTATTTACCCCCAGATTTCGTGGGGTTTCATTTAACCAATTTAACCGGCGTAGGTTAAAATTGACTTTCTAAATCAAGTTAAAGTAAACGAGTTTTCTAGTACATTTTTTTAATTAAAAAACACGAAATAAATGGCCCCACATATTTTTACTCCTATCCTATTAATGTTATCTCCTTTAACTTGTGATTCAAATACACCTTAGGACCAAACAATTATCTATAGAAAACCTCATTGCACTTGCGTCGAGACCTAAGCTAAAATTGTAACAGGGGCAACTTATTACAATTGAGGGCCTAAAATGACAAATATAAATGATGCCTTCTATTTTTAAAAATTATTTTAAATTTTTTTGTAATTTGTTTTTTTTTTTTTTGGCCTTTTGAGATGAAACTTTCTTATTACATTTTTTGTTTTAAGTTTTTCCGATATATTTTTTTATTGATATTATGAATAGTCGCCTTAATATTTTTTATAAGTTACCGAACTTATGAAAGATTTTATTAATGAGTAAAGTTATTAGGACATAATTTTTTTTTTTTTTGAATAAAGGGACATAATTTAAAAACTTAATGATTGTGGCCACTAAAGTATTAGTGAGTCATACAATTATATTATAAGTGGGTCACACAATACTATCAATCCAATGATTGCAATGTATTAAGTTTTAAAATTATGTTCATAAATTATATCCCAATAGCATTAGCGTTCATTAATTTTTAAAATTTTCTTTTTATAGAGTAAATTATTGTAGAATGTCAATAATATTCCATAAAAAGAATGCTTTTGAAAAGGAATATAATATTTTTATATAATTTAGTATTTCAAGTAAGATATTTTTTTTTCATGTTTGTAAATTTGTGTGAAAATACAACCTCGACTATCAATACCAAAGAAATTTTCATATTTGGTTAACAATCGAGATATTAAGTCAATATTTTTAAGATTGTTATCATCTAGTGAGTTTAAGTTTTAAAATTAAATAGAAAATTACCAAAAAAAAATAAAAATTATATGCAATATTATCTACTAAATTTGTCTCATCCTTGATTTTTTATGGAGTTATTTTTTATAAGTTATCTGTTATATATGTTTGGTTGGTTTTTCAATTTAGAATAAAAATGAAAGAGAGAGAGAGAGAGAGAGAGAGAGAGAGAGATTTGACAGTAATATGAATGACTGATTTAAATTTGTTAAGCGTTGTTATTTTATATTTAATTTAAATGTTACGTATTTGTATGTCAAAAACAGAAGTCGGTACAAAAATTTAGAGATTGTTTGATAATTGTCTTTGTTTTGTATTTTGTGTTTTGTATTTTTATTTTCAATTTTTATCAAAAATGAAAACAAAATATATTTGGGTACTGTTTTTATTTTTTTTTATATTAGTTGTTTGGAAACAAAGATAAAAAAAA